ACTTAAATATGACATCCGTATTTAAATTAAGAGAATATGTTTTTTAAAGCCTTACTCTTGATCCGGTACTCTGACTAGGATACTCCTGTTCTGTTTAGTGTGCTACGTACACTCCTGAAATTCTGTTTAGAGGAAGTAGTGCTCTCCTGTTTAGTGTACTACGTACACTCCTGTTCTGTTTAGTGTACTTCGTACACTCCTGAAATATTTTTAGAGCACTATTACTCTCCTGTTGAGGTTCGGGTCTCTTCGGTGATTCCGTCCTTTCTGTTCAGCTAGCTTCTGTCAGGGATTGGTACGTGTAGCTCCGGCGATTACGTTTCCATATTCCTTCTGGGTAATGTGGATACGGACTTCGATCGACCGTATTCCTTACCGTTAGTATTCCTCGGTCTAGGTCCAGATTCTAGAGTTCAAGGCTAAATGAATATGTATTTTTCAATGATAAGTTTCAGAATAAGAATTATCTGATAATTATGATATCTGAATATGCTTCTGTTCTGTACACAAGAAGAATATAATAATTATCTCAGAATAAAATTATCTGACAGTTATGATATCTGAGTATGATTCTATTCTGTATGTAAATATCTGTATTTTTATAACAGCTGCTCGGTTCACCCAGGTATGTTATATGTTTGTTAGATCAGATGTGAATTATGTTATATTAATATGTTTGATATGTTAATATTATTGTTATTGTTATTACCGTACCACTCAGCACATTGCTGAGCGGGTAGTTGTGTGTTTTCCTACCCGTAGGTTGAGCACGGAACCCGCTAGGAGCACGAGGATGGAACGAGGCGTAGGACGCATTTGCATGCCATGTTATTTGCTGTTTGTTTTAATAAAGGACTTTAATATGTCATATGTGATTTTAAGAACTTTCGCTGCACTCCTTGAAGTGTTTTATGATGTTTATGCTATGTCCGTTTTAATAACATTCTACTCCTTGTGAGTTTGAATTTTTTTGGTATTTAGTAATGAAGTCGTTTTGGAATTAATACACTTTATTTTAATTAATAAAATATCTTATTAAATGTTTTGTGTTTTTAAAAAAAAAAGGGCATTATTTTACTTGAATCACGAAAAGTATTTTTGATTAAATCCGTTTTGATTTTCCGCCAAGTGACGCGCCACTCGGGTCGGCAGGGTCGGGCCGGGTGGGGTGTTACAACCACCCCACCTGACCATACCCCTTACCCCACCCCCACCCCCACTCATAACTTCCCGACCCCTACGAGTAGGTATGGGTGGGTATGAAGGGTTGTGGGGGAATATGGGTAGAATGTAAGATCGTGGTAAGGGTAGGGGTAGGTAGGGGTCAAGGGAGTAGAATTGGAGAACTGGGTGAAAAAATTGATGAACATGTTTTCAGATTTGAAAATGGAAAACTAAAAATAGAAACAGAAAATTGGAGATAGAAAAATTGAAAAATAAAAACAAAAAATTGGAGAACGAAAAAGAGGAAAATATCTCAGTTAGAAAACATGCCCTTAAATTCCGTGTCTCCGAGCCCAACTATGGCTCAACTACTTATCTCAAGTGTTCCTATACTGTTTTATTGAGTACTTTGTTCCGCATGATACTCCAAATCATACACTCTCCAATCTCCATGAGCATTCATTTAACATAGTAAGGTCTTCTATTATATTTTCACTTTAGATATCGGTAATTATAATAGATAAAACTGTCAAATAAGTCCTCGAACTTTTATAAAAAGATCAAATAAGTCCTTATATAGGGGGCTTTGTCCACTCGTCGTGATTTGGCGCGGTCCCCGATGGATTTTTTTGATGAATTTTTTTAGCATCTTATTCATCAAGTCTAGTTTACTCATACAAAATATCAGCTAAAACTTCAATCGAAAACGCATTCAAATTAATTCTTGAAGATAACTGTGCAATTAGCCTTGATGAATAAGATGCTCAAAAATGTTCATCAAAAAAATCAACCGGGAACCGCCCCAAATCGCGACGGCCGGACAGAGCCTCTATATAAGGACTTATTTGACATTTCTATGAAAGTTCGAGGACCACAGTTTTTCCATTATAATGAAATCACACAAGCAAAAACTCTATTGAAGGCAAAATGTATAGTTCTATAAAATTCTTATTCATCGAAGGTGTAAAAATGTAAAGGCTGGGTAAAAGAGCACGAGGCCTGAAGAAAAACAAAAGTTTTTAGGGAAATTATATTTCAAAGAAAAATTTCAATTAAATATAAATAAAATACAATTCTATAAAGAAGTTACGTATGTAATCTAACAATAACAACTAAAAGTATATTGTTTTGTATTTGCATATGTTTATACTATAAATTTTATATATTCATTAAAAGTAGAAAAGATGTTAAGAATTGTATTTTTTATTTAAATTTTTCCTTCTTTTAGGGTATTTTGATGCACAATCTAGAAGTAGTGTGATTTATTTATTCCACACGAAATGCAAAAAGATGCACGCATTTTCAATTGTTTATATTTAAGTCATTTGTAATAATAAAGAATCATTTCCAAAGTTGTGAAAGAATAGATTTATTGATTTTAAAATGAAACAATGAAGTAATAGGATGTTCTATTACTACGTATTATTTTTAAATTGCATCTCAAGTAAGGGGGGAAATAGTAAGCATTCCCACAAAGCATATATGTTCCATAATCTGTAATTAAGTCCGATATGAAATAAGTTTTTTTTTGTTTAAATTTTAATTAAGATCTAAATAAATCACATGAGTTTTTTTTATACCAAAAATCATCTGAGTTATGTAAAACAAATAATTCATATTCCGTAGTTATTATTATATTATACTACCTCCGTCCCAAAATACTTAGCCAAATTCCAAACTTTTACCAATTATATATATTTATTGGAAATTATTTATAATATAAAAGTGATATGAAAATGTTCTTTGTTAAAATTACATTCATAAAAAGTACTCCCTCCGTCCCGTTAGAAGGTTCCCACTTTCCTTTTTTGGACGTCCCGTTAGAAAGTTCTGATTTCCATTTTAGGAAACAATTAACAATCTTAAGTGACAAATTAGTCATTAAATATTAAAAATAATACATTTATAACATCACAGTTATCAATACTAACACATTATAATATATACCTATTAAAATTATTTCTCAAAATATACCCGAAGTACTTTATTTAATTATCACCTAAATAACTGTGTCGTGTTGCTATGGGAACCTTCTAGCGGGACTAGGGGTGGATTCGGGTCGGGCCGCCCGGTCCGGTACCCGGTCTTGGGGCCGGTTCGGGCCAACCGGAACCGCCCAACTCCCGATTCGGGCTCAGGCCTTGAAAATGTTGGGCTGGTTCGGGCCAAAATTGTTTTGTTTTTTCAATTTTTTTGGTTTCTACCGGGTAGGGCTGGGGTGTTTTGGGGGTGGGGGTGGGGGGTAATTTAGAAAAACAAAAGAAAATTAAAAAAAAAACATTGAACCGGAAACCGGCCCGGCCCGCCGGTCACCCGGGGCGGTTCCGGTTCCCTACTTCCCAAACAAAAGCCCGGCCCAAGTCCATCCCTAAGCGGGACGGAGGTAGTATAAAATTTATAAGTTTCATAATATTATACTAATCAAAACCTTGATCCAAATTTTAAAATTTGGCTAAGTATTTTGGGACGGAGGGAGAGGCGGCTTTTGGGGGAGTTGGCCAAGGCAAATGCCTTGGGCCTCACATCCAAACAGGGCCTCCAAAAAAATTATTAATATTAGTATTATGTACAATTCTTCAATAATTGGAAACTGGGATAGGAAAATTGTCGTCTGGTCTTAGTCCATTGTCCACGCGACCACGCATCTGGGAAGAGCGCAATTGAGTAATGAGATTATCGATTATGGGAAGGGTTGTGCTTCTTGTCCTCTGCCGACGCCCGACATGTCGACAACTTCACCGAGTCACCGTCCAGTGTTCCAAGGACTCCCAGCCCACCCATGTCTGTCAATTGAATGCCACTCCGAGACGCCGCCACTATCACCCGTTGATCTGGACGGCTCTCCGACTTCTCTTTGCAGGCTCTCAGTCTCTGATTCTCTTAATATCTTACTTTGCATTACCTTCTGGATTTTTGTCTTTCTATGAATCGATGGATTCACTTTCCTCTTTAGAATTTAGTAACTCAAATACGGAGTACTAAATAACATGAATGCCAGATGTGTAGATGTCTAGATAAGGTCATAAGGATTTTGCCTTTTTTGGTGTTTGAGTCTAAATTGCTAAATAACTAGAATGCCTGAATAGTAAATAGTAAATACGAGTAGTAAATACAAGTGAACTAGTGCCTGAATAGTTTAAAGAAAATGATAAAGGTGTAAAGTTAAATACTTAATATCTTAAACATATGACTTTAAATTAAAATTTGTAAATAATTGAGTTAATATTGGTATTGTATGGATTAGGGATTAGATGATATAGGCATGAAATAATTAATTTGATGAAATTGGTATTACTAAATTACGGAGTAGTTATTTTCTTCACTTATTGCTCGTATTTAGAAATTTTAGGCTTTACTTAATTGATTTGTATGTGAATTTTGCATCATCTATTAATATGTAGGGATATACAAAGAGAAAGAATAAATTGAGACAACTCGTGAATCTCTCTTTCATGAACTTTCTTGCAACACTCACGTTATATCATGCAATTTGAATATGCTTTTATTCATAAATCATAACGTTTTTTATTCAATTTATCTCATGCATTCTCAAAATAATTTGTGCACAGTAGATACTTTTGTGTCTAGGGCCTCCTAATTGCTCAAGCAGCCCCTGGACGGAGGTAGTATTGTATAATCCATGATGCGGCACGATGGAAATGATAATGAATGATGTATTGTATAATTCATGGTCATTAATTAACATACACCTTTTACATGACCATATTAAAAAAATGATTTAAAAGTGAGTAAAAATGATTTAATGGCTGAACAATTAAATTACAGTCCCGTTTATTTCATTAAATCACAAGTAAATAGCCTTATAGCCCTAAGTCTGATTTGGTAACTCGTGATGGATTATGCAACTCATTACACATACAAACATAACTTCCAATTTTTTTGATTGCACTTGAAATGAAATATTACAAGATTTATCTTTAGGACGAAGGGGAAGCAAGTCAAGCAACACAATATACATAGCATACAAAAAGAAATGAAAGAGAGAACCAACTTCAAAACAACAGGAAGCGTACAATCGAGCGAACAGAGTTTTAACACTTCGTAACCTTTCTTTAAACACGAGGGGTCACGCTGAATGTGGTACACACAAGCCCATTCTCCGAGCCAACCAAGGCCTATCAAGATCTGGATCTATGAATCCATGCAGCAAAAATTCTTCTGCCTCTTCATCCATCAATTCTCTGGCCCATGTTGCACGCTTTCCTTGGCAACTACCAGGCCCAAAACATCTGCAAAAGGTTCATGACAAGCAACACATATGCGAGCAATGCTTTTAAGTAGGTTTTATGTTAAAGCATAACTCCTTACAATGTATTAATAGTAATAGTACACTTCCTAGAATACAAAAGGAACTGGAGAACTCTATGAACAAATCATCATTTTTAGCATGTAATCTTTAAGCAGGACTGTTCTTAGGTCTGTCCATTTGCATATAATAAATTCACTGGCCTGCTTAATCCCGGTCTGGTCTGATTTGATGTATTGTTTGTGTTACTATTATTTTAAAGCTAGTCTGAGCTCTTTATGTCTGATATAGTCCATCTAAGTTTAGTTTGATCTAATCTGATCAGGGATTGCAACAAGTCCAAATAAAGAGGTCCTTATATCAGTTCACGCATGTGTGTTTTGTAGTACCGAACGTATGTGAAACCTATTACAGCAACAACAACATCCCATACTTAGTCCCAAAAAGTTAGGAGTCGGCTAACATGAATCGACATATGAAATCAAAGCTAAAAGAGATAACAAAGATAAAAACATAAAAAAATATAAGATAAAGATAAATAAATAAGACTTAATTAACTGTTTGTGAAACTTATTAAGAAAATAAAAGATATGAGCATTCAAGTAATTCAACAAGACTTTACCTGTACTCATAAAAGCAAGCAGTTCTCTCATTTTCAGTTTTGCCCCAATTATTCCAACCAACTTCTTTAACACAGTGATCCATGTAGGTGTGTGCAAAAACAACCCTCCCAAAAGGTCCCCATGGCCGCCCAAGATGTGTATAAAATGTCCCTCCATTACCAGTGATAACACACCTGCATAAACATCAGGGAGTAGCTGGAAGATATCCAAGAAAAGGAGAGCGATAGGAAAGAACGCAAACACAATAACTCCCTCACATATCATCTTGCTCCACCCGGTTGAATTTCAAAGACATCTATATCTATGATTTCAGTTCCCATTCCAAATTTCAAGTGTTTAGAGAACCAAGCCACACCGGCTAGTTCTTCAAACTTGTCCAAATCAGGGTTCTATTATGCATTCTAATGGCCTGCCTGCTACTTTCTAGCACCAATCAAACATACAGTCTGACCACTAACCCGGTGATCAGGTCACATATTTGGAGAATTTCTGAATTTCTAAAAAGATTTGGGAATTTCAAATATAAAACCGGGGTCTTCAAAACGGTCTTCAAAGCCCACAAAGGTTTTTAGCATTGATTATACAGATTGTTAAGAGAGTGAGGAAGGAGATCGTATATTGCGTGTCGAATAAGGGGAATGCAACACCAAATTATATAGCCACAAAAGAAGGCAAAACAGTGTGCTGCAATACCGTGTACCACAGAGTTGAGTGCTATGACTGTTCTATAGCTACTTCAATGTATAGTTAAACACTCCTCACCCCCCCCATCCAATCTCCCTAACAAGCACACAGTTGTACAACACTCCTCCACTTTCCTCCTTTTCAATCCACTGAAACAAGGGCTAAGGATGTTTTTAATCGGACTTATTTCAGTCCTAGATCAGATCAGACCGGACTTAAACAAACAAACCAGACCAGGACAGTTGTACACAAAGAGACTAGACCAGTTGAGACCATACCAGAAAACTTCAGTCCAAGTAAAAACATCCTAAGAGCTAAGGGCCATTCTTTGACGAGAAGTCTTTAGTTGGCTCTTCAATGCTCTAGGATGCCACCTCTCTTACTTGGTTGCATCCAAAACTCACCCAATCGAAAAAGGCTTGGCAATATGGGCAGGAATCCGTTAAACAAGTGAGGCTGGTTCTAAGGATGCAACGCCACTATGAGTTGAGACGCACTAGGTTGGGTTGTTCTCTTTGAGTTCAGTAAGAAATAACCTAGACATGTCTGCCATTGGCTCAAGTACAAGCCAACAAGGGCTTGTTGTAATTATCAGAGTAATTAGGTCTGGTATTACCTGTCATGGAACCTGTTCTGTGCCGGTTATATTGGGTTTCCTCAACATGGTAGGAACGCATGAATACTGATTTACCACCCAACACACACCTAAATGTGTCAAAGTCTCTACTGCCGTCATTACCATGCAAGAGGCAACAGTTCACTGGTTTTGTAGACTTCAAAACAAATACGAAATCAGCGGAGACGTATATGCACTTCTATTTGAGCAAATTGGTGTACCTCACCAAGCAGGTTTATTGGCCGAGTGCATCATTGAGTGTAAAACTCTATGACTCAGGCAACATAACCCCCATAATAGCCCCACTCACTAAAGCTGCCAGACAAACATGCTCACTGATAAGGTAGACACAAGTGGACAATCTCTTTGAATCACTCCACATCTTGACATTAGTGATGCATAATAAACTAAACTCCCCAATTCTAGCTATTGGCATCCTCAAAAATGACTTTGGACAATGGGAATACTTAAGCGATTGTGGAAAATAAAAAAGAAGTCATTGAAGTGTCAAGCATCAGTAATTGAACTCACTACTAGTTAATAGCTACCCACAGACCTTAAGAATACATAACCAGTTGTCTCTTGGGAAGATTTTCTACTCTGTGCAGTAATGTAACCAGCTGATTTGCAATGGATGTGACAATGCTCCAATAATGCAGTGCTATTACCAAAAATGAAGTCCACGCTGCCTTCGATGTAACAATCTTTTAGATATTGCTTCCCGTAATGTAGATACAAAGTATCCTGTAGAGTGTCAGCCATCAAGGAAATTTGAAAACAGATATTCCCACAAAATCAAAATTTCAACAAATGAAAATCGCATTACTAGAAGCTACACAGTTCCCTTAGATTTATTTACTAAAATAGGATGACATCCCGTCCCTGTGGGTCCTCAGAACCGACCGGGCAATTATGTGGGAGGTGTGTAAGTTGAGCTTTGATCACCCACCGATGGAAAGAGAGACGGGTTCTATTCCAAGTCTTTGCTTGGAGTTGAACCCGAGACATCTCCCTTGTGGCACCCCTTCCTACCAGGTGAGAGCTACGCCCCCAGTATAGAAGTATAGTGACTAACTATACCTGCCAACCAAGAAATCTGCAGTTATAAAAAGCACATCTATCCGCAGTCACTCTGATTGCCACTGCCTGTCCTGATCCCTGCTCACAAATTCCAATTCAAATAGTGCATCAAGTATGAGGATTATTAGCTATTACAAGTGGAAAAATAATCTTACCTCAGGAGCAAAGTTTTCAAAAGTGATATTCTCAGCAATAAAATCTTCTCCTTCCACAATTGTGCTCCCACACCCAAATGTGCCAGTTCCAATTACCCTCGACGGCTAAATATAATTAACTTCACCAAATTAACAGAGGAATTCTTAAAACCGATACACACGCCCATTTAAATACGCAACATAGTCAGCAAGGGTGGACCTGGTGGTGATCGATGTTAATGGCTGTGTTATTCCAGGAAAGAACGGTGTCTTCTGGGCGGAGACCGGCTAGGGTTATGAAGTTTTTGGTCTTGGGGATGTATAATGGCTGCCTGTAAATGCCAGGAGCCACGCGAATCACAGTGCGGCATGTGTTTCCAAGAGGAACGACGTCTATAGCATCCTGCACCGTGAGAAAATCTCCGCTCCCGTCCAACGCCACCGTAAAAATCATTCCCGACATTTTTGCTTTGTCGAGATGTCACTTAGGCGGTGGCGGGACTGCGGAAGGGGCGGGGTGTTGACATTGCAGACCAAAGCTTTGCCGTTTAAGTTTTAACCGACGTTATCACGTGTGTGTCACGTGGATTGCGAAAAACATGGGTACATGTAATTTTTTGGTAGTATTTTAAATTTTTGCACGTGGAATGATTACATGTAAAATTTAGAAAATCAATCATTTTGCATGTAAAATAGATTACATTGTTTAGTTAGATGTGTAATTTATTTTTAAATTGCACGTAAAGCGTTCCAGTGTTTCTGAAAAGGCATGCAAAGTATTTTACCACCCTCCACGTAAAATATTTTACATGGTACTCCGTACAATGCAAAACGTTTTAAAAAAATGTCATACAGTTTACATTAAATAATTAAACCAAACAATGTAAACATTTTACGTCCTTACCCTTCGCATGCAAAGTCATTATTTTACATCCTACCAAACACCCCCTAAGATTGAGACAAAGAGGTGTGTGGTGTGGTTTTGAAGAAAAAGTAGAATTGTGTGGTTGATATTGAATTGATAAAGCGTGAATAAAGTATGAATGGATTGTAGTCACTCAAATATTACCAAATATGGTATGCAACAAAGCCTCCTAGTAGCCAGACTTAATGCCCAATTTTGTGTGTAGAGTTTAATTTGCCAAATAGTACGCTCAAAATTGGGCATTGCAGTACGTGAACCCCAAATTAAATCTGTATAAAGCTTCCAAATGCTCCAGCAGATTATACCTGGTAAATCTTAATCTTATAAAAACTTATAATAACCAATGAGAGTTAGGGCATTTAAGGGATAAAAAAGATGTTGGTGTAAGCATCTAGCTTACTTGGGTTGTACACTCTGCTTTACCGTATATGCTCTATTAAAGGGGCTTATATTTTCCGTTTTATATCCGTCTGTCCTTCAATCGTTTGTTTCCGTCGGTTAATTTCCGTCCGTATAAGAGACAGTTGTACACCCTGCACCTTCCATCTGTTTATTTCCATCCGCCTCAGATCGTTTGTCTTCATTGTCTCCAGCTCATTGACCGCCCACCTGCTCCGGACCCTGCCCTAATCTGGCCCATGCTCCCATGGTTTCCGTCTTTGGGCGCTAAGGTAGATGTCCATTTCTATGGAGGTAAAATGTTTGATTGTTTTGTGAAAAGTGGTCAATTATACACGTATAGTTACAAATTGGAAATTGGTCAGTTATATTAGTCATGGGCTCGTGGTTGTTTCTGCATATCATTCTTAGAGATTTTAAAGCACTCTGTAGTAGTTCTTGATATGGTATGTGGTCTAAGATTGATCATTTTTTCATTTTTGGGAATATTTTAGCTGGGGGACTACTATTAACTCTTGGGGTGAGCATGGATAGCTGAAACAATTTTAGGTCAGGAAAATGGGGAGGAAATAATAGAAGAATTTTGCAAGGAAAGAAAACGTTGAGGAAAAATAAATTATTGGTTCACACTCAATAAGTTTATGTTAATTTTTTTTCACTTTCTAAGATACTTTTGTGCTTTGAATGCTAAGGAACATTAAGAAATACAAAAGAAAATTAAACACTTAATAGTATGATAGTATTACATTTCCTTTCTATTTCCTGAGGTATAACAAAACAGGTGAGAACAGCTTTATTTGAGTCATTAAAAACTAAACTGCTGTTTTTTCTTGGGGGCCGGAAAGTGGTGTATTGACTCTTTAACTGGCATAGCAAAATAGCTAAGAATGAATTCAAGCAAGTGTTAAAATGTGTGGATTCTGAAAACAAAATCATAATTGGGAAAACTAATCCTTAGATCACAAGTTTAAACTGCTTTGTACTGTGAAGCATAGATGAGAACTAAGATATTGTAGAGTGACATTGCACTAAATTGCTCAAGTACAAAGTATGCAGTCATAATGTGCTGTAAGAATAGGATTATAGATTATGTAGTAAAAAATAATGATGCCTTAGGCATAGAGTAGTCTGTAATCTATGAAGCAATATCAAAATCTATACAAATTGACATTATAAACACTAGGGGTGTTTGTCGGTTCGGTTTGGTCGGTTCGGTTTGGTCGGTTTTTTTCCGGAAAAGCTGAAACCGTAAACCGAACCGCACTACTTGAGTCGGTTTCGGTTTGGTTAATATCGGTCGGTTCGTGTCGGTTTCGGTTAGTTTTAGCACGTTTTTGTCGGTTTTTGTCGGTCGGTTTCGGTTCGGTCGGTTTTTTAACCCCAAAGGTGAAACCGTAAACCGAACCGCCAATGTTTGTTCGGTTTGAGTCGGTTTCGGTTTGAGTCGGTTTCGGTTTTGGTCGGTTCGGTTTCGGTCGGTTTGTCGGTCGGTTTCGATTTTTCGGTTTTTTTGTTCACCCCTAATAAACACACATCATTTGTGGTGGTTGCTTATACTTCCTTCCATGGTATGTGTTTATGTTTCTGACTCTTGAAATTGTTCGGTCATGCCTTCTTTTGAAGGTTCTGGGTCTACCACAAAAAAAATCTTTAATTATAACAGAAAGGTTGTCACTTCTAAAATCCTCTTCGGCTTCATTTCCATAGCCACATTCTTTTTTGGTGGATTAAAAGAACTCTTTTCCATTTCATTGATAGAATGAACTTTGTTGTTTTCTATAGAAGAAAATAACAAAGAATAAACATGGTCCGACTTGCCTATCTGGCATACTATTCAGATGACTAAAATCGGTATTTTCCTATGGCAGTGCTTCAGAAGAAATATTTCCATTCCGGAGAGTTTGTCTAAATTTCAGCTTCATGTGCTTGCTATTTGTTATCTTTTTTTTAACATAGACCCCTGACCAAATCATATCATGCATTCTTAGTCTTTTTTACCTAAATTTTGGAAATATTTGTCGGCCATTTTGGATGTTAATTAGCAGGTGAATAGCTCTTTCAAACAAAGCTGTTTCAATTGTCGGCTTGCTGCTAAAAAACGATGCTTTGGATGATCAATCGTGGTTCTTCCTGGTGTTATAGGCTGGTACATTTGGAAGACATATTCCAAAGCTTAGTGGACTAATGAAAGATACACATCTTAGATAGTTATTAAACAAATAACATCTCACATGGTACATTAGTGTTTGGGTGAAGGATAAAATATCATCCTTCAAAGTTCAAACAAAGCAGATTGAAAGTCAATGTACTGATGCCAATCATAGTACTGTCATTTAGAAGATGCAAATCAATCATTCCAGAGACAAGCAGTGACATGCAACCTTAAATGGAGGCCATTCTCTGAAGCATCCGACTTTCACATGTTTTAATAGAATCATGTAACTTCCACCTTTATATTATAGAAAACCATTATTTTAGATTCTTTTTCTGCGCTGACCGGATTACATGCCACCGTTGACAAATCTTGATCACATATCTTGATGTCATCATAAAACAACATTGGGCATTATCTTTTCGCGCAACGCGCGTCATATAACTAGTTACTTTTAAAAATATCAATAAGATTCTTACTACCAGCTTCAAACCACCATCCCAAAAATCTGCTATAAATTGAATGAGAGCCTGGAGAAGAACGTATATTCATAATCCTGGAAAAATAAGTCCAAATAGAATTAGAAAAACTGCATCCCAGGAAGATATGATTACTGGTGTCTCCATTTCTTCTACACAGAGGGCAAATGAAACGGTTTAGGTTATCAGAAATAGGAAGGATTCCTCTGAAAAGTTTCCATTGAAACAAATGAATTTTAAGCTGTTGCTGAGGGTGCCACATATGTTTATAGGAAAAACTTGAGCCAATAGAGTTTCTAACAGCATGATGGGCAGACTTCAGAGAAAATTGACCATTGCTTGAATTTTTCTAGGATAATTGCTGAGTTGCTGAAGAGACTGAGGAGTCTGGAGAATCAACCAGTGAGTAGGCCAAATCATGAACAAATCATATCCTCTTCCAAATTGGTGAGTCAGAAATCCTTGGTCTCATATAACTAGATCTAGGGTATTTAGACTTAATAAAAGAAGACCAAAAACAAGAATCTGTACTCCATTTCCACCACAGTTTTAAGGAGAAGGCTTTTTCCAAATCACAAAAGGATCTAATATCAAGTCCACCTTCCTCCTTGGGGTAGCATACTTTGGCCCAACCGACCCAGTGATACACCCATTGAAAGGTTTTTTTGTTTCCAAGTTGTCAGTCTTGATTCAAATTGTTTTATAAGCTGGTGGAAAAAATGGTGTCTATTGATCCCTTTATGCAGGTTAGCACCTAAATATTTCAAAGGGAGGTTTTCTGCATCCCCAGAAGATCAGTAATGGCCCGACTCCTATAAGAAGCATGCTTTTCACTGACAAAGGAGCTCTTTTCAAGGTTCACCGCCTGCCCAGATGTGTCTTGATATAAGGTGAGAAATCTATTAAAATGAGTGAGTGATCTAGAATCTCCATTGATAAAGATGAGCAGGTCATCAACAAACCCTAGATGTGAGACAGGCCTCCCATATTTGCCCAGCCAATAAGGCTTAATAAGACCTTTAGAAATATACCAGTTTAACCCTCTAGAGAAGGCCTCAGAATCCAAAATGAATAGAAAAAGGGTTAGAGTGTCTCCTTGCTTAACCCCCCTTGTAGGTTTGAAAAAGCCTCGAGTGGTCCCATAGATTAAAACAGAGATAAGTGACCTGGAGGTTATTAAGAATGAGATGATCGAATAAACTGATTACCAAAGCCAAAGTACTGCAACACTTTAACAGAAACCCCCATGATAATCTATCAAATGCTTTGGCCATATCAAGTTTAATGACCATATTAGAACCCCTTACCTTCTTGTCTATAGCATGAATCATTTCCTGAGCAATGAGAATATGATCAGCCATGTCTTTCCCTTTCATAAAGCCAACTTGTTCATATGAGATTAATTTAGGCATAATGATGGACAATCTGTTTGTAAGAACCTTGGTACAAACTTTATTCACAAAGTTAGACAAACAAATTGGCCTAAAATCTGTAAATGAACTAGGATTTTCTTTTTTTTGGAATAAGGACAATTATAGAACTAGACAAACCCGTAGGAATAAGGACCCCTAGAAAAAAGCCTTGAACTGCTTTAATAGCATCTTCACCC